CAAAATTCCTTTGTTATCAATTGATTCGAAAACTAGAAGAACTCCCCAAAACCCTCAAGTTCTATCATCGTCCTCTCGTGAAAGTTCAATAATTGATAATTATTTAAAAACAACCTCAATTAAAAACAATAAAAAAAATTCCAAATAAAAATAATAGAACTAGGACTGTATTTTCTACCCTTTCACGACCACCATCACCTTCCATGAAAGGGTTCATGGTTCGTGAAGTCTTTTCTATAGCATTCCCTTAGCGTGCCCCAATACTAGATCTTCTTATAAGCTTCTAGACTGAGCTCGACGGACAGGCTCACGAACCATCAGAGAGACAACGGTCCGTAGAGTTGTCTGTAGTCTTTTTTTCAAATCAACAAAACTTGGACTTTTAGCTACACTTTAGAATCTTGTACACGAACTAAACCACGGACCGTCAAAGTGATTAAGGTCCGTGCAGACGTCCATAGTTTTCACTTCAATTTTCTCAAACTCTGAAAACTTTAATTTCTCTATGGAATCTTATTTGCGAACTAAACCACGTACCGTAAAAGTGATCACAGTCCGTGAAGTTGTTCGTGTTCTTCACTTTGACACTCGGAAATATATGTCTTCAGAATCCAGCTACTGCCATCACACTTAACGGTCACTTTCATGGTCTGTGAAGTGGACCATGGACCGTCAAGATGGTCGTGATTTATTTACTTATTTTCTTCTCTGCCTGACCCTTGCTGCATCATTAACAAACACAAATACACTAGATTCTAGTATTAGTTCTTTGTTTTTAAGCGTTAACTGTAGTGTTGTTTCATTGTGTGTATATGCAAGTCGAACAATTATATGGCCTGAAATTTAAACATCAAGGACTTTATTTGAATACATATTCAATATATAAAAAATTTAAAGTGTGAAGTTAATTGATGTAGTTAAACGACATATGCTTTCTCTCTAAAAATGCATGTTGAACTTTCAAAAAAATCGATGATAAAATTTGATGTTAGGAATAAAATCTAAGAAAGCCATCACATAATGGGCTTAAATTACCTATAGAAAAATCAAGGACAAGATCAAACCAAGCAGAGAAGAGAAAGCTAAACAATTCTAAAGCTATTTCAATGACCAAAACAATGCACTTCTTTTAGCAAGATATATTTATTCAAACTACCATTTTAGGTGGATAACCCAGCAACATAACAACATAAAACGCAAAACAGTGGCGAATCATCAACACGTTCAGGAATAAGTGATAAAATTACTAAATAAAAGAGGAAAAAATGAATATTGAAAACAAAAGCTTAAAGTTAAGATATTAGCGCTAAAACAGATTATAATCAAAATACCATCCTTAAACATGCATAAGAAATCGAATCGTTAACAATATTCTTATGAGGAGAAGCAAAATTATCAGCTGAAAACAGCGTTGACTTGCTTAAAAGACTAATCTTATGACTAATAAACCTTACTATCATTTAGCGTTTACGTGTAACCTCTATATATCAAAGTCACTTTCTTTTACAACAATACACAACACTAAAAGCTTTTCCAGATTCACTCTACAATAGAAAGAACAAATGAAGGCATAAAAGAATTTACAAAGTTTATAAGAAGCAAATTAACGAACCTCAACTTGTGCCAAACATTTTTAGATGACATGATAACAACTAATATCCTTAAACGATGAGCCCTCTTCGAAAAATAAGAATGAGAAATCTATCTATCTCTCTCTCTATATATATATAAGTTGATGTGGCATGCCTATATGATCACCACTCAAATTTATCCCTTTTATCTAATTTTGAATTTTTCAATTATTTGTTAAAATAATAATCTATTCAATACATCTATTAGCCTACAATTAAAGAAGACGATGAAAAGTTTTAACATAAGTGATATTTTTATTGTTGTTACGGAATACGAAGAATTGTAACGGTTGTCAATAATTTCTTACAATCAATCAATTAAAAAGTATAAAATAATAGAGCACATAACCTAAGAGTAATCAAGAAAATTCCTGAATGAGTGCTACAAAAAATTATTAACTACCTCATGTAAATCAAGTTTTTTTATTTGTCTATACAAATGAAATTATGCATGAAAGTAAGTTGATGAAATGGAAGAATTATTGCAATAGAAGATATTGTTGTTCAGGTAGTTGAATTTTTGAAAAGTTTTACTCTCTCAAATAAATTAAAAAATTTATTTGTTTGTAGAAATGAAATCAAACAAGAGGATATGGATGTAGATTAACAAAATCGAAGAATCACTCGGTAAGAAGATTTACTGCTTCAGATAAATCAAAATTTTGATTTGTTATATAAATGAGTTCATTAGAATATATCTATGCAAATTTAATCATTTTATGCCAATAAAAATTATATCAACAGATTTATCAAAATTGCACAATGAAATACTATTTAGAAATTCAATATACCAAAGTTTGAGAAACATCAAAATCATGTCCTCTAACATTTAATTTGTGAACCGTAAAATTATGCCACCACATGAAGTATTAGTTCTCTAACTTTATTCTTTTTCTTTTTCACAAATGAAAAGCTAACAAGAAGACGAGAATCTTTTCTAATAGTAAAGAATAAATTTATGGTGATATAATGAGAAGCAAAAATATAAAGATGAGGCAGGAAATAGCAAGATAAAAGGAAGAATATATTTATGGTGATATAATGAAAAGCAAAAATAAAAAGATGAGGCAGGAAAACAAAATAAAAATATCATATCTGTTAAAAACATATTTGTGTTATATGGAACGTCTTATTATATGAAGATGTTGTTAGGAATTTTACTTGAAGACAAAGTTAGGTTTAACATATAAATAAAGGGGTTCTGCTTCATTGTAAAGAAAATTCATGAATACTGAATATACTTAAAGAGAAATATGAAGTCTTCTCTCTTCTCGCTACTTTATTCTTCTTCTTGTTTATATAATTTTATAATATGTTATGAACACGAGTATCTATCCACTGAGTTTAGTTAATATGTCCAATTTTCATTCTCTTCTTAGTGTTCTGAACATTGACACGTATGTAAATTAATATCTACCAAAATTATCGAGTTTCTCATCAAAGTGATAAAACAGAGAACCTTAAAGTTCAGGTAAGCACTATTAATTAATGGGGAATTTTCAAACAAAAGGTAGATCTACTCTTATGAATATTTTTTTATTGTCTGGATCATTTTCTTTCACACGTTTATAGAGAGACATATTTAATTTATTTGGGAAGTCCTACACTTCTTTGTCATCTAATGAAAACTTTAGACTTATATGATCTCTCATATGATAAAACTGATTTACCACGTTTTAACTTTCAGAAATCAATAATTTTAATTATGATCATGTTTTGAGTTATTTTAAAAGTTTGTTTTTTGACTTTAAATAGTTATAATTATACGAGAAGTGATAATATTTCATATATATTGTTGAAATTTAATTTACCAATTCAATAGTAAGACAATAAATTCATGTTTTATCGCATTTAAAAGGGTAAGACGATCGATTCATGTCTAATCGCACCAACAAGGTAAGACATCACATTTTGTCATGATGCACCTAAGTATTGGGTTAATGTCATATCGATTTATGACGTAACATGCCTTTATGTGGATAAGATGTTGGGTTTGAGAACCAATGCATTATATTGATGATACATTGACTATTAACCAAACAATGTGCTTTTATTAAAAATTAGTCATGAAATCGCTCCATTCTCTAAAGTGAATGTGACAGCAATGCATATTATGTTTGAAATAAGGCAAGTGATTGAATAATACAAATGAATATGGAATGATGTACTAAAGCTATCATAATTTGATATGCTTACATGCTGGTGTTGTCTTCACGAAGAATGAGAACTTTTGATAAATGCTACAAATATAGATTCGTTTTTTAAAAGGAATGAGGTGTAAGCCACCATGCTAGGCGTGAGAAAGATCGCGACCTTTGGTCAATGATGTAGTATCACTAAGAATGTCTCTAAGAAGACATGTATTCTAGAAAAGTTTCATACTTTATTTTCAGGCTTGTAATGAACAAAAATTTGTTCAACTGAGACACATTTATATAGCAATCAGAAGTTTACTAATTTCAATACTCAGATCATGTGAGATATCTAAAACTTGTAGTGATCAGACGAATTATAGAAGATTTAAATAAATATACATTAATGAACCTAAAAATTTATTTAGATGATGAATTTTCTTGTACTCTTGTAGTGAGACAAGTTAATTGTGAAACCACATAAACTAAAGTTGAGATTGAATCCTTTGCGTTCTAGGAACGTACACAGATATTTATGGACATATTCATCCACCTAGTGGATTGTTTAGATACTTAGTAGTCCTAATAGATGTTTCTTCTAGATTGTCTCATGTGTGTATATTGTTATCACGAAACTTAATATTTGCAAAAGTATTGGCAAAAATAATATGATCACGGACACAATATTCTGATAATCAGATTAGTCTATTCAGTGGTTGGATCACGACTCACATTTAGAAGAGGTAGAGTAATTGAGAAAAAATAAATCTGAAATTTACTCACGGAGTATTAAAGTTAAATTTTTCTCATATAATAGTAATAAATTGGGAATCGTAACATCCCGTAACTCGAATTAGCTAACAATAAGTTAAGAAAACCAAAAAATCACTTTTGAAAAGAATAGAAAAAATCTTGAAATTTTCAATGTTAAGAAAGTGAGTTTTGGTCATTTTCAAATGACCATAACTTCTAAATCAGGATGCGTTAGAGTCATTTCTTTATATGGTTGGAAAGACCTTGGAGAGATCTTTCCAATGGCCTCGAGTTTTCCCTATTTCGATATTGTATGGGGAATATATGTCTTTCAAAAGTTGAGTTGTTGAATTGAGAAAAGTCCAATCCGGATTTTAGTAAGGGCAAAGTAGTCTTTTTAGCCATTTATTTCCTAAATCATTTTAAGGGTTTAATTGGGGTAAAAAGGTTTTGTTTAGATTAAAAAAATTATTTTCACGCTTAGGGCTTGGAGAAAAGAGAAGAGAAGAGGAAGAAGGAAGGAAGATCAACATTTCGCCAAGAACGCCAATAGATTCCGGTGGAATTCGTCGGGGATGATCCCTATTGAGGTATGTGAGATTTTTTGTATTGGATTCATTTATCCACACATCAAACTTACTTTAGTTTTGTATTTTGGAATTGTTCATATGAGTTGAAGTGAAATCTTGATAAATCTTGTCGAATCTCTTTTGGTTTAGTTGATTTAATACCCATTGATGTTGATTAGTAGTTTTCAATGTCGTTTTTGAGTTAGATCTGTTGGGTATTGATATTGTTGATGATTATAAAGGTTTGGGGATCGAAGAGGTTTAGGCATTTTGGGATTTGAAATGAGTTTAAAAATCCACCAGGTTAGGCGCGTCGCGCCTGCAATGCGCCTGAAGTTGGCTTCAGTCAACTGATGTTGGCACGGCGCGCCACCAGTACGCCCAACCCAGCGTTTTCATCCAATTTTTGTAGTTTAGTCCTTTTAAGTCATTGAAAGGTACATTAACACCTTCCACTGATTGTAATTACTTCAAATGATTTCTAAACATCTAGAAGTCATTAAAGAATTCAATCACAACCTTGAATCCATAATTCAATTCAAGAAAAGTTAAGATCAAAGTCAAAAAAGTTAAGAGTCAAGTCTAAAGTTAAGAAATAAGCAAAGTAAACTTCTTAAAGGTTTTCAAGAGTCTTATTTAAACATTTAAATCTTGTTTTGAAGACTCAAGTTTCAAACTAAGCAAAGAATTAAATTGAAGTTCTTTTCTACAAAGGTATATGGGGACTAAGTATTTCCACTGAAACTTAAAATTGTTTTCAAACTTAAACAAGTAAGGAAACTTTGATTTACAAGGAGCCTTATGACATGTTTTCAGAAAATAACTATAGCTTTCTATACGAGGCAAGAAGGAAACCTAAGATTTCCAAGATAGCCTTTGAGATAAGTATTTTGAGCACTAATATCAAACGCAGAATCAATATGTTTTTAAAACATAAAAGCCACCATATTACCTATATTGGGGAGAGGTCAGACAACTCACAATCCCCATAAACCATGTAGCCACCGTGGGTAGAAAAAGTTCATACTTTTTAGATGAACTGTTTTCACAGTAGATTAGTGGATCCATTAGGCAGTTCAGGTGTTATATTTTTGGCCGGGTGTAGGATGCGCTGGCAGCATGAGGTATATCGTTGTATCATCTCTGTAGCTCTTAGTGATGATTGTCGGTTAGAGAAACTCTCACAACAGTTATTGTATTCTTATATACATCAACTTTATTGTATTTTTACATACATACCAAATTTAATTGTATCTTGCTGACATTCAGAGATTTCAGCATGTTACAGATAGTTTTCTTTATATTGCACTTATTTTTAAATTTAATTTTATTGAATGAGTTAAGTTATTCATGAGTTGATCTTAGCCAAGTTAAGTGTTCCTTCTTACTCATTTTTCAAGATTAAGTGTTGTTAACATTCCAACTTGCATACTCGTACATTCAATATACTTATGCTTGTTGGACTGAATCGTATTATGATGCAGACGTAGGTAACTAGGATCAACATTTCACGTGTCGTTGATCTAGCGAGCAGCTTAGAGTCAATTTGTGAGCCTTTGTTCATTTCAGAGTGTATCCTTATCATTTAGATATTTGATTTAGTTTTCAGCTATTAGGATGATTGAGGGGTTTCCAAACATCCATCTTTATGTTAGACGCTTCATAGATAGACAATGTTAGTTTTATTTTGTCTTTCATTTCAATTTTAAAGACTTAAAGTTGCCGTTTTGGCTAAGTACTATTTTAAAGTTATATTTTATGTTAAGTCTTTTGCTGAGTTAAGTAAGCTAGACCAAGGGTTCGCTCAAGGACAACAATGGTCATTGAGTGTCAGCCACGTCCAGGTTTTAAGCTCGGGGCATGAAAAACTTGGTATCAGAGTAAGGTTTTCAAGAGTCCTAGGGATTCTATGAAGCCATGTATGTAGAGTCGTAGTCATCGGTTTGAAATGCTCCACATTTATGATTAGGAGGCTGCAACATTTAGGAATATCTCACTTGTTTCATATTTTTTTCGTGTGTTAATATTTATCTCTAAGAATCTCTATCTAATTTATGCTGTTTCAGATAACCATGTCTCCACGAAGAGCAGCAAGAGGTCGTCAAGCTATGAGGAACATTGAACCTTAGAAAAGTAACTACCCAATGCACCTGAAGTGCAACCACAAGGAGAAGTTGCTAATGTCGAGTTCATAGAGGCAATTAGGATGTTGAGTCAAGCTGTGACTAACCAGGTTGGTTGACAAAGGGGAACTCAACAAGAAGGGGCTGACACTTTGAGGATTCGAGAATTCTTGAGGATGAATCCCCCAAGTTTTTCTTGTTCAAGCACTACCAAGAATTCGGAAAACAGTGTAGAAGAGTTGAATAAAAATTTGATATGATGCATGTCATTGGTGTTGAGAGAGTCAAACTGGATGCATACTAACTAAAGAATAATGCTAGGACTTGGTACGACCAGTAGAAGGAGGGCAGAGATGAGAATGTACCACATCCGAATTGGGCTTGCTTTGAAGAAGCTTTCTTGGGGAATTATTCCACGAGAATTGAAAGAGGACAATGTACGTGATTTCCTCACAATTAAGAAGGACTCACTCATTGTGCATGAGTATGGATTGAAATTCACCCAACTATCTCGTTATGCTCCAAAGATGGTAACTGACATGAGGAGTACGATGAGTTAATTTGTTGCTGGCTTGGGTCATGCTTCAAGTAAAGAGGAATGGGTTGCAATGCTTATTAGAGACATGGACATTTCGATGTTAATATATGTACAATAGGTAGAGGAGGAAAATCTGAGGGACAGATAAGAGTATAGTAAAAGATAGCCAAGACCGAAATGAGTCTGGGCAATAGAAAGGTGGTTCGAATTGGCTACAGTTTCAGAATTAAAGGGGGGTTGCACTATTATTTGCTAATGCACCTACGCCTAGAGACAGAGTTGAATCATCGTCATAACTCCCGAGCAGTGCATATTCACAGGGTAGTGTGGCGCATGGAGGTAGTAAGCCTCCTGCTTGCACAAGGTGTGGTAGGAATCAATCCGGTGATTGTCGTGATGGCTCCATAGGTTGCTTCAAGTGTGGTCATACCGGGAATTTTATGAGGAAGTTCCCAAAGAATAAGCAAGGCGGTGGTAATGGGGTAAACAGAGCTCAATCTTTATCAGTTGCTCCACCGACATGGTTGCACCTAAGGGAATTACTTTTGGTGCTGGCGGAGGAACAAATAACTTGTATTCTCTCAACAGTCGCCAAGAACAGGAAAATTCGCTAGACGTTGTCACTAGTATGATTCAAGTCTTTGACTTTACTGTTTATGCATTGCTAGACCCAAGAGCCAGTTTATCTTTTGTAACTCCATATGTAACCATGAACTTTGATACTATCCTGAGAAACTGACTGAACCATCCTATGTTTCCACACCTGTTGGTGAATCCATTCTAGAAGAAAGAGTCTATCATGATTGTCATGTTCCGTCAGTCACAACAGTACCATAGCTGAATTAATTGAACTAGACATTATACATTTTGATATCATTCTTGGTATGGATTGACTTCATGTCTGCTATGCCTCCATTGATTGTAGAACTCAAATAGTCAAGTTTTAGTTTCCAAATGAGTTAGTCTTAGAGTGGAAGATCAGTTCAGAAATGCCTAAGAGTCGATTCATTTCGCATCTTAAGGCAAGAAAGTTAGTTTCAAAGGGTTGTATCTATCACTTAGTCTGAGTTAAAGACTCAAGTGCCAACGTACCTTCCCTTCACTCTGTTCCTGTGGTAAAAAAGGTTTCCGAAAGTCTTTCCTGATGATCAACTCGGAGTCCCTCCTTGTCGAGAGATAGACTTCGGCATAGCCATCATCCAAACACTCATCCTATATCTATTCCTCCCTACATAATGGCATCAACAAATTTAAAAGAGTTGAAATAACATGTGAAAGATCTGTTAGATAAATGTTTTATCCGACCAAGTGTCTCACCTTGGGGTGCTCCGGTCTTGTTTGTAAGAAAGAAGGATGGTTCCCTTAGGATGTGTACAGACTAGCACCAATTGAATAAGGTGACCATCAAGAATACGTATCCTTTCCCAAAGATAGATGATTTTTTTACCAGCTTCAGGGTGGTTTCTTATTCTCAAAAATTGATCTCAGATCAGGCTACCATTAGTTGAAAGTTAGGGAATTTGATATTCAAAAGAAAGCTTTTAGAAGAAGATATGGGCATTATGAGCTTTTGGCTATGTCCTTTGGTTTGACCAATGCGCTTGCATCCTTCATGAATATAGTCTTCAAAAATTATTTAGATATGTTTGTTATAGTCTTCATTGATGACATGCTAATCTATTCAAGGAATGAAAAAGATCATGCTAGTCACCTCGGGATAGTTCTTTAGACTTTGAAAGATAAGGAGATATATGCAAAGTTCTCCAAGTGTGAGTTTTGGCTTATGTTTGTGGCATTCTTGGGCCACATAGTTTTCAGTGATGTACTTAGAGTGGATACCCAAAAGATAAAAATAGTTCATAGTTGGCCTAGACCCATGTCTCCAACTGATATTAGAAGTTTCTTGGGTTTGGTTGGCTACTAGAGAAGGTTTGTTGAGGGGTTTTCATCCGTTTCGTCTACATTGACCAAGCTAACTCAAAAAATAGTTAAGTTTCAATGGTTTCAAGCTTGTGAAAAAAGGTTTCAGAAGTTGAAAAAGAGGTTGACTGCTGCTCTAGTTTTGACCTTACTAGAGGTTATTCAAGGTTTTGTGGTGTATTATGATGCATCAGAGTTGGTTAGGGTATGTGTTAATGCAAAATGACAAGGTTATAACTTATGCCTCCAGACAATTGAAGGTCCATGAGAAGAATTATCTAACCCATGGTTAGGGTATTGTAGTTTTCGCCTTGAAATTATGGCGTCATTACTTATATGGTGTTCATGTTGACATATTCTCCAAAACACAAGAACCTACAATAATTTTTCACCTAGATAGATCTAAATCTCAGACAAAAAAGGTGGTTAAAACTACTCAAGGATTATGACATGAGTTTTCTTTATCACCCAGGTAAGGCTAATATGGTTGTTGATGCCTTAAGCAGGTTATCCATGGGGAGTACCTCCCATGTTGAGGAAGAAAAGAGGGAGTTATCTAAAAATGCGCAAAGACTTATGGATTCCTTAGAAGGAGAAACAGTGGTGCCTAATGGGGTTGGATCATCACTACTGTCACGGTGAAAAAAATCAAGACCAAGACCCCATTTTTCTTGATTTGAAGGCGAGTGTTTATAAGAAAAGAGTATTGTTTCTTTATTAAGGGGGAGATGGTGTGTTGAAGTATCAAGGTAGATTGTGTGTACTTAGGGTGGATGGACTCCAAAAGAGGATTATGGAGGAGGCTCATAGCTCTAGATATTCTATTCATCTGGGTTCCACCAAGATGTACCACAATTTAAGAGAGGTATATTAGTGAGAAGGTATAAAGAAGGACATTTCTAGGTTTGTTGCTAAGTACCTGAATTGCCAGCAAGTGAAAGTAGAACAACAAAGTCCTGGATGTTTGGCTCAGAATATAGCACTTCTGGAATGTAAGTGGGATATGGTTAATATGGACTTCATCACAGGCTTTTCAAGGTCTCGCAGGCAGCATGATTCTATTTTGGTAATTGTCGATAGAATGAAAAATCAACAAACCTGGTAACGACTATCCATTCAGCCGAGGTTTATGCTAAGTTGTACATTCAAGAAGTTAGAATACTTCATGGAGTTTTGGTCTCCATCATTTCAAATAGAGGTGCACAATTTACTACTAATTCTAGAAATCTTTCTAGAAAGGTTTGGGATCAAAGGTGAACTTAAGTATTGTTTTTCATCCTCAAATAGATGAACAAGCAGAGCGTACTATACAGACCTTAGAAGACATATTGAGAGATTTTGTGATTGATATAAATGGGAATTGGGATGATCATCTACCTCTCATTGAATTCTCCTAAAACAATAGTTATCATTCGAGCATCCAAATGGCTCCATATGAGGATTTTTATGGGAGAAGATGAATATCTTTAGAGGGTGGTTCAAGGTTTGTGAAGTAGGGTTTATAATAGAAGATTTAGTTCACCAAGCTATGGATAAGGTGAAAGTGATTCAAGAGGGGTTGAAAATAGAACAGAGTCGCCAAAAGTCCTACAGAAATGTTAGGAGGAGGCGTAAGAGTTTTAGGTGGATGATTGGGTATATCTTAAGGTTACACCCATGAAGGGTGTTAGGAGGTTTGGTAAGAAGGGGAAACTTAGTCTCCGGTATATTGGACCTTATAGAATATCCAAGAGAGTGGAAATGTAGCTTATGAGTTGGAGCTACCATAAGGGTTATCAACGGTTCTTCCAGTTTCCATTTTTCCATGTTGAAAAAGTGCATGGGTAATCCTTCATTGGTTGTACCAACTGAGAATGTTGGGATTAAGGATAACTTATCCTATGAAGAGATTCCATGTCACGCACCGAGCCTACACCCAGGGCAGGACCGACACTCAAAGATCATTGTTAGCGCTCAAATGAACCCTTGACCTAGCTACTGAAATCAGCGGAACACAAAACTTAACTTAAACACGAATAGAACATATTTAAAGGGAAATACTTCATATCATAACTTTGGACAAAATGGCACTTGAGTCATAATAACTAAAAACAACTCCTAATTGAAATACTGTAGTCTATGAAACCTTTAAACTATCTAGAAAGGATATTGGGACAAACCCCACAACACCCTGAAAACTAAGCAAATATGGAAATGAAAAGGATGTCATCCAGAATGCAAAAAGGCTCACCACAAACTCTGAAGCTCAATCTGGATTAACGAAGCGTTGAGTGTTGATCATGTTACTTGCATCTGCATTATGAAACGATGCAGTCAAACTGGCATCAGTACTTGAATGTACGAGTATGTGAGTTGGAATGCTAAAACAACACAGGCTTGAAAAGGAGTAAGAAAGAACACTTACCTTGGATTTGCTCAACACATGAATAACTAACTCATTATAACTACTCATTTCATTATATAATAGTTTAATGACATGTGCAATATAAAGAAAATTTGTTTAAAAGATGGTTTTCAACTCTTTATATGCAAAGATACTATTAACTCTAAGCTGTACATAAAAATACAAAATAATTTGATGTAAACTCATAATCTTAATAATAAAGAAAATATATCATGCTTCCTCTCAAAGTCTACTCGTGCAATACATGAATGATGCCTCGTACCCTCATTCATACTAAGCAGAACCTCTTGAGACATCATGCAACTGCTACTGTGGGAGTTTTTCTAACCGACAACCATCACTTAATAGTTATAGTGATGATACAACGTTTTACCTCACGCTGTCAAGGACCATCCTAAACTTGCCAATGTATTGGACCAGAACTGCGTAAATGGATCCACTAGTAAACTGTGAAAAGGAATCATCTAAAAACTATGACCTTTTTCTACCCATAGTGGCTAACATGATTTATGGGGGTTGTGAGTTATCTGAACTCTCCCCCATATCAGTGCTCAATACTGCTCCAAAAAATATATTGGTCCTAATTTTTAAAAACATATTGATTCTGTTGTTTGAGATTAGTTCTAAAAACTTAGATTTTAAAAAACTCTCTTGGAAATCATAATTTCCTCTTCCTTCTTTTAAAACTAGCAATAGTCTCTGTGGTAGTGTAGCTTCCCTTCCTTCACAAAAATTGAAAACATTTTGTTTAAACTCTTAGGGACTACTTATTTCCCTTATAAATCTCTAGAAGTGAACTCAACTTGATAGTCTTTGCGTACTTGAAACTTACCTCTTAGGGAATACTTAGTTCCCTTATAGCTTTTGAGAAATGAACTCAACTCTTTACTCTTTCTTGACTTGAACTTTAAGTCTTTAAAACAAAGTGAAAAATCTTTGTGAAAGACTTTAGAAAACTTGATAACTTTACTTTGACTTGGATCTTAACTTCTAGACTTGGCTCTTAACTTCCTCGACCTTACTTTCCTTGAATTGAATTATGGATTCAAGGATCATGATCTCATGTTTATTGATGATTTTATAATGTTTAGATGTACCTTAGAGTGTTGGAAACATTTAGGAATGAGGGGTACATCACTTAGGAACTAGTACAAAAGTATAGGGAAAGAACGGGGTCTCCAGGGGGTTCTAGCGCTCTGAGAGGCGCGCAGAGCTGACAGACAGACTCTGTCCTGAGGGGCTTTGAGGGTTAGGCGCCCCAACATCCCCCCAACGGGTTTTCCGACTTTTTTCTTCGTTTTTCATCTATAAACTTTTCCAAACTCACATGGATCACACCCCAAACACTTAGTATCCCTAATTAACTCATCACCCAATGATTTAGACCCAATAACAGTCCTAAAACATGTATCACAACTAACAACGATCAACAATAATCCAATCAACAAGAATGTCAATCTTTCTTTCAAGATTCCAACCTCTAACATGAGTTAATTCATGAATTTGACTGATTTGAATGAAATTGGTGTGTAGGTGAAATAACCCAACACAA